TACCTATCTGAATATCTTCAAGAATCTGGATACCTATCTGGATATCTCTTCTCTTTCCTTTTTTTGTATATTCAACAAGCATTTTATAATACTTACAATTTATCAGCAATCAATTATTATAAAAAACAAAGCAAAAAAATAAAGAAAACAAAACAACGCTTTTCACTAATTATCACTAAGTTTGTCGTCTAAATAATTCTAATAGACTGACAACTTGTTCTTTTTTTTTTCCTGTAAATTAAACCACCCTTGTTGAAGGAAAAAAAAAAAAAGAAAGAAAGAAAGAAAGAAAGAAAGAAACAGAAAGAATAAAAAACTACACAGCAACCTTTTCAGTTTGCAACTGAAAGGAATAGTTTTTTGTAGAAATAATGTAGTTTTTTCTTCAAAAAACTACAACAAAAATTGTTTAGTTAATAATAAAACTGACAACAAAATAAACTAAAAAAAACTTTGTTCAAAAGTTTACAGATGCTTTTTTTTTCTGTACTTTTTAAAGTTAACATTTAAAAACGATACAACTTATTCTTTCCATCAACATTTATAAATAGAACAAAAATTTTACTAAAGTAATGAAAATTTTTTCTACTTTATTCAAACAAACTGCTCCCTCATAATTTTATTAACGTTTACAAAACAGTATCCAACATAACTATTTAACCGGTTCTAAGCTTCTGCTTTCTGCTTTTTTTTTTTTCTTCTGCAACAACAGGTCTTGAAGGTTGTTCAATGATTTCTAATCTTCGTCGTCCTGTTTTTTTTGTTCCTCTCTTACTTTACTTATAATTGAAGTTAAATGAAGATAGTGTTGTGATAATAAACTTGAATGCTATAAAAGATTAAGTAAACTACTTCATTTCTAGTGTGTCAGCTTTATTTGCAACCAAAGCAGATCATAGTTTCACAAAGTTCAAAAAACTAGTTTTAAAACTTGATACAAAACTTCTGTTGCTTGATCATCTACCAAAAAATTGATAAAAATTACAATTTTATTAGCTTTTGGATGTCAGACATAGCTTTGATTTCATCTCCTGTACTTACTGCACTTCTGTAAGCTAGTTTATAAATTATTAATTCAAGAAAAATTTTTCGAGTAGTAATTTGAGATGGCTTAGAATTGGTAAGACTTTCTGTTTGCACATACCAAATAACCACCAGGCTCAATTAGACGAACAGTGTTTCGTACTGTTTTTCGGTACTCTTCTAAAGTTTCGCAAGCATATTCCAAACAGAAAACTGTTGTAACAACTTCAAATTGTCTTGGTATCATATCGCTTTCTGTACTATTACATCGACAGTGTATCGATTCAATAATTTCCTCGTTATGAACGTTAACCTAACAAATATAGGACATAAGGATGTGTCTTGACAGCGGTCAGTAGAACAATTTAACATTATTGCTATAAACTAAATAAAACGGAAATACGGCTTGGATTCCAGAAGTAATGTCACCTTTGACGCCATTTATATGTCTAGATATCAGCGCATAAAACTGTAATATCAATGCGCTGCCGTCAACACTAAGTTATACAAATACATATTCCTTCAAATCTGTTATCTTTAGAGTGCTTAGTGTTCAGTAAAAAAAGTTTGTTTTAAAGCTTATAAAGTTAATTACATTTAGAATAGCTCGAAGTTTGCTTCGCGTAGTTTCCTGCATATCTTCTGGTGATTCTTTAGAACTCTCAATGTCAGCGATCCATTGACAAACTTGTACCCAGTCGAAACGATTATGTTTCTTGTACCACGACTCAAGAGTTCGTCTATTTGCTTCAGCGTAATCTGACGTGTAAATGTTTAGAACTCTATTCCGGAATACAATTGGAACGTAAACAGTTGGACCTGAAAACAGGACAAAACTTGTTTTTGACATCAGAACGGTTGTTTATCTCCTAATGTATGGAATGAAAATTATGCAACATTCAAGTGGATTATGCGCAGGAAGGATAGCATGAATTTTGAAAGTTTAATAAGCAGTCTATAGTTTAGTTCTAAAAAAGTGCTTGGAAGTAGCAAAGAACCTTTTTGATTTTCAGCACTTCTTTGTTTTTACAAATTGTTACATAATACACTACAATAGTTATCATACTCATTATAGTCCTTCATTCCCTTACTGAGTAAAAATAAAATGAATAAAGTTGAGGTCGAAGAAATAATGCAAATTTACTTCAAAAACTTTTAAGGTGACAACTGAGATATTTTGTACAAAGATAAATAACCGTTATATGTGTTTTTCGTTGCTATTATTATTGTTGTTGTTGTAACAGGTGCACTGGTCATGTAGAAGTTATACAATAAAAAAAAGAAAGCGAAATAAGAGGTTAGAAAAAAAAAAGAAAATACTAACCAGCTCCAAGATCAAGCAGTGTTTGAATATTTCTTGGAAGGTAGTAGGTAAGACCAGGCAAAAAGAAAAGCACAATCTGCATCGCTGTGTCTTCACTGGCAGTCTTATAAAATCCATCCAAGTACTCTTCCGGATCAAACTAAATTTGGCTTTAGCGGTAAAAAGTATCTTATAGCATGCTTAACAATAGCTGACGAAGCTAACAGATTATAATATTAGATTCTTAAAGCTGAACTTTAGTTTAGCTTTAACAAAATGCATAGGTTTACATAACAGGCATTTCCAAAACTAGTTCTTCTAATTGGCTGACAAACCTTCTTGTCATGATCGTAAGCAGAACATAATTCCCATTTTGATTCATCCTCATCATCGTTGTCAGGTTTTTTGACGTCCACTTTGTTACATGCCTTCAACACCTCGGTGCCTTTGGAAGTTTCCCTTTGGTCATGAACTGCATTGTCATTTGACATCAGACGTTAAAATTCTGAAATTTTTTTGGTGTAGCTAGAAAGCTTACGAAATCGACGTCTGGATGATGGATAAGTTAATTTTCAATAAACTAATCTTAAAGCAGTTTTTTTTTTTTGAATGCTTTGAAGAAGAAAAAAAGCACAAATTGGCTCAAAACTTTAGAATTAGGTGCGAGCGGTTCGTTTTGCTGTTAAACAAATCATCTTCTATTTGACTTGGTATCACAACTTTTACCTCTAGTCATATCAACTAATTTTCTTATAAATCACTGCTACAGATAAATTTGAAGCACAATATCTAACTGCTTTGTGACCATTACACCTGCACAATCTTAGGTGGTTGCAATAGTAATTTTTTGGCTTCGTAAGACTCTGTTCAAATGTTGCCAAGTATTTAACAGTTAATCTTGTACGAATAGTAATTGTTTAACTTTTGTCATGTTATCAAAAAATGAGTTGTTAAAAGATAAATTTACTTTTAATTATGTAATACAAAAATGTGTCAAAACTCCTTCATAGCTGTAAATTATGTTTCATATATGAATTTGATTCCACCAAATTCAGCTGAATCATTTCAGACAGCAAATAAAAATTTTCTTCAAAAATTATTGGACTTTTTTTTTTCTTGTAGTGTTGATAATAGCCTATAATGACTAAGCTTGTGAACTAAAATATTTCATGCGTTTTTAAATTACGTAATTTTAAGAGAAAAAAGTTTGGTCAGAAAACTGAAAAAATGTTGATACTTAAGCTTTTTTGAATAAACTTACTCCTACTACTCATTCACATGTTACAAGATATCTTTGAGACAAGAACGTTTTTTTTTTTTTTTTTGCTGTTTTTCTTACACGAATAATTCTGTCTTTGTTTTTCCTGTATTTAAGTTAATGTCTAATAAGAAGTCTAAAGGAAAAAAAGAAACAGTAAAGACGAAAAAAACTGTAGAAAACGAGTAACAGTTGGAAATTGGTGAAAGGGTTGGTGAAAAGCGGGGGCGCTTCAAGAGCAGGATTTACGCCGTTATATTGACATATTGTTCAGTGTTTGCAGGTTAGTAGCTCAGTTGCTGTAGCTGTTCTGAAGGCCTACGGGTCTCCTGTTGTCGACGACGCCCAACACTAACACTAAATTTCCTGCTACTCTACCACTTTCCTGCTGCTTCATCTGCTTATCTCTTCCCATACTGTTCAAGTTTCCTCTATCTTTACCACCTTTTCACCGCTGGATGACTTCATCAGCTCTTCCGAATTCTCTTTTACCTTCGCCTCAGTGCTTTGAACACAGAATTATTGTTTGAAAGTTTAGATTAAATTAAAGGGAGAAAAAAAAAAAAA